TGTGCCTATCATGTGTGTGCATGCATGTCGGACATTTGAACTTTTTGAACGTGCATTTAAACATGTGCCAGTTCTTGTTCTATTACTGTAAACCTTTGGTATATTTATTGCCTGTTATTTATACATGTAGCTAGACAATATTGCATATTGTACTGCAAGCTAACTTAAGGCAAAGCTTTGTGTAGCTTTCAAACCCAAAAAGGATGTTAAATGTGCCTTCTATTGTCTGCAAACAATTCAAAACTAACTGAAATATTAACAGATACATTTCCAGTTTGGGTGTAAAATTTATCCATTGAACTGTACAGGAATGCTGTCTCATAACAAGGCTTTTCCCATTTATTCTCTGTTCAGATGTACTGCAAAAGAGCAAAAACAAACAATGACTGAATGCAACATAGTCTTAATCCAATTTAATTAAGGTGGAATCACTCTGTGAGGTGTTAATGCAGTGTTCTTTTCTCTCTTATTTCCCGGGTAACCTCTTCTAGTTTGCACATGGCCAGTGTATGTAAGCTTAGCTTTCACTACCTGATGACTTCCTGTGTTTCACCTTTGTCATGGAAAAGTGAAAACTACTGGCTTGAATTTTACCAAGCGTATATGAAACTTCCTCCACTTTTCAGACGATGAACCGTGAAACCTCCTTTTTCTGTGAGAGTCGCGTGACGTGCCTTGCAGTTCAGGGCGAGTGGTTGTTTGCGGGGCTGGCCAACGGCACCGTTGACGTCATTGATTTACCGGTGAGGGTCGTTTAATTTATTTTCAGCACTTGTTTATTTAATGTGTACTTGGCTAGTTGTAAGTTTTATCGACTGCTGATTTCCCAAAACATGGCTTAACTTTGCACCATGCCTAAGCCTCATGCCACAAATTTGTAGGGTAGCTGCATAATGTACTTCCAGTCAGTTCCATGAAAGTTGCTTAGCTGTGTAACGTCATAATTGTATCAAACATCTTGGACATGTTGGACAAGGACGATCGCAGCTGTTCCTTTTCAACATTATGGTAATCTAAACATTCATTAACCACTACCAGCCGGGGACTCCGAAATCGGNCATGCGTATCATATGTGTGTGCGTGCATGTCGGACATTTTGTGTATGTATGTCGGACGTAAATCACAGCTGTGATTGGTTAGAAAACAATGGGGCAGGGCTTAATGGATCTGTGTATTGTCAGGGCAGCTTATGGCCAACAATTTTTTTTTCACAGTCCTCATGTACAGACATGACTTGCCGACGTGAATTTAAATCAGATCACAAACGTCAAGTTTTTAGTCATTGCTGTGTAATTCATTTATGCATCCTTATTCTGGCTAACCAGAAACTCAGATTTACTCCCCCTCTCCCTTCTGTTGACGCATATCTTCGTTGGAATTAGACCTTTTAAAAATCTCACTGCTCTCACTTTTTGAACGTGCATTTAAACATGTGCCAGTTCTTGTTCTATTACTGTAAACATTTGGTTTTTTTATTGCCTGTTATTTATACATGTAGCTAGACAATATTGCATATTGCACCGCAAGCTAACTTGAAGCAAAGCTTTGTGTATCTTACAAACCAAAAAAGGATGTTAAATGTGCCTTCTATTGTCCGCAAACAGTTCAAAACTAACTGAAATATTAACAGATACATTTCCAGTTTGGGTGTAAAATTTATCCATTGAACTGTACAAGAATGCTGTCTCGTAACAAGCCTTTTCCCATTTATTCTCTGTTCAGATGTGCTGCAAAAGAGCAAAAACAAACAATGACTGAATGTAACATAGTCTTAAGCCAATTTAAGGTGGAATCACTCTGTGAAGTGAAGTGTGAATCCAGGGTTTTTTTCTCTCTTATTTCCTGGGTAACCTCTTCTAGTTTGCACATGGCCAGTGTATGTAAGCTTAGCTTTCACTACCTGATGACTTCCTGTGTTCCCCTTTGTCATGGAAAAGTAAAAACTACTGGCTTGAATTTTACCAAGCGTGTATGAAACTTCCTCCACTTTTCAGACGATGACCCGTGAAACCTCCTTTTTCTGTGAGAGTCGGGTGACGTGCCTTGCAGTTCAGGGCGAGTGGTTGTTTGCGGGGCTGGCCAACGGCACCGTTGACGTCATTGATTTACTGGTGAGGGTCATTTAATTTATTTTCAGCACTTGTTTATTTAATGTGTACTTGGCTAGTTGTAAGTTTTATCAGCTGCTGATTTCCCAAAACATGGCTTAACTTTGCACCATGCCTAAGCCTCATGCCACAAATTTGTAGGGTAGCTGCATAATGTACTTCCAGTCAGTTCCATGAAAGTTGCTTAGATGTGTAACGTTATAATTGTATCAAACATCTTGGACATGTTGGACAAGGACGATCCTAGCTGTTCCTTTTCAACATTATGGTAATCTAAACATTCATTAACCCTAACCCCCTAGGCCCTTTTTGCTAGGGACCCTCCTCAATCCTCTCAAATCCTCCAAAACCACCCAAAGGATTTTAGAGGAATCAGGAAGGTTAGGGTTAATCCTAACAGTCCCAAATCCTGCAATTTCAATACGATTTTACACCGTAGAGGATTAGGGTTAAATTAGCTCAAACTGCCGCTTGTAAAAGTTGTTATCTTTTCTTCATTGAAACCAGGCAGAAAATCTCAAAGTACTTGCACAGCTAATCAGGTGTTTTTTATGACTTCCAACACGTAAGCTTTACAGTTGTGTAATCCTTGTGAAGTTGAGCAACGATTATTTGTACCAAACATGATTAGTGAGTAAAATTCGTCATTTTCGATTTGTTCAGTAATAAATGTGCTGCCTAAAATGATCAAGTAAGTTACGCTATACGTTGTTACGCAGGGTGCGGACTTGTGTAAAGCGTATTAACTTTCGTGAAGTGTGGCATGATTTGTTGTTCACCTGGTGCAATAGAATGTGGGATATTTGACATGAAGTGAAGTGGAATCGACCACACGTGTCATATGCAATTGCAGAATTTGATCTGACGGGATATCCTTTCACACATTAAACTACCGTTGCTGTCCGAGTTACCGGGCATCTGTTCATTTTTTGCGGGTTCAATTCCGAGGCCTGTAGATGTGGAAGGTGTCTTGTGCTATATAATCTTTGCCCTGTGCCCAAACGTTCTTGACTGCATTCAAGGGTAAGACATGGGCCTTTGGAGGCAACTGCCTTGTGGCTGTGGCCACTTCCCATAGACTTGTGTGTTACTGTTAGCCGTAGTCAATACCTCTTTTGGACGTGGCAATCAATATTCCAAACGTTGAAAGGCGAAGCCGTCCTCCTCCCCCCCCAAAAAAAAACCCCAAATTTTTTTTTAAGGGAGTACCTTTTTGCTTTTATCCTTTTTTCTTTTGCACCCAACTTTTTATTTAGTTACTTAAAATATAAAATCGATAAAATTTGCTCTACTCATATGTTTGAATTCATCTGTGTACTGCCCCCCCCTTTCATAAATGTTGGTTGTCCCTCTTTTTGTATTTTTAATGCCAAATCTGCCACTGGCAAGGGTAGGTGCCTCGTAAAACCTTGAAGGGGATAAAGCTCAACCATTGTGAAATCGGGCTTCAAAATTGTCATTAAATCCCAGAGATGGCGCATGGAGAAGAATCTGACATGCAAGCCAGAGTGCAAGATTGAAGCGATGGTCCCAACCAGACTGGTGCCCCACCTCTGGTGCAGGGTGAACAGAGGGCTTCTGATTGGCTACGAGGATTGGACCATCGGCGTGCACAGTGCCACAAACGGGAAACTCCTGCGAAGTCTACATGGGCACAATGGAGTAGTTCTGTGCATGGTGGTACGTAGGGTGTAACAGGCATTTGTTGCGTCAACTCTGACAGTCCTCAATCCTTCAACCGTCGGAGGATTGAGGACTACTGAAGCCCGCCATAGTTTTGCCAACCTCAGGTAGGGGAAGACTGCTCCAGTAAATGGGTTTGTAGTGTTTGGTGAGTGTTGCACTCAATACACATTTAGTGAAATTTCGAAAATCGTGGACTCGACAAATATCCTAAGAACTCTGTCAAAGTACTTTTTATTTTATTTTCCCTTCCTATTTCTCTTGTAAGATGCTGAAACATCTCCTGTACAGTGGGTCTGCCGACAAAACTGTCATGGTTCACGATTTGAGGGTAGGTTTGCAATTACAGTACCTCCTGTAATTCTTGAAGTTAATTTATCAAGCACTGCATGCCGAGTGCTTCTCAAAAACTTTTGGGGAAATATACACTCTCTTGCTTGGGTAAAGACGCAAACCTCAAACATACAGTGTACTTGAAAGCTTGAAGCTCACAGCACTTGATGAATTACATTTGCAAAGGGCGGACCAAATCTCCATTGATCATCTGCCCACTGCCATCGTTCTAATAACACGTGCTTCTAATTTTTTGCCTTCGTGTGTTCAGTCATAATTTACTTAAGACAAGTGAAGGAATGCATTTCAAACTTGTAGATAGGTATTTCTAAGTGCAAGTACATCTAGACAGCATTACATGCTATGTCTATTTATGGAATGGGGGAAGGGAGGGGCCTTAGGATATGGAGAGAGGGTTTTCACAAGATAAACCCACCTATTCAGAAATTCCCCTCTGAATTACTGCTTATCTTTTCAATACCAGAGCAGCCAACACGTCCAGACTATTCGTCTTGACAGCCCTGTCACTGGCCTGCACCGGTGTGGGGGAAGCATTATCACCGTGTGTGCGGAGGGGAAGATACATGTACACGTCTCTGACCCAGAGGTAAGGCCAGGTTCAAATTGTGCTGCTGCGACTAGGTCCAGATCTTTGCCAGTTACAGGTGCATTGTCACATGATGACGACAGACATAGCCATAGCTCTTTAATCCCATTATGAACATAGCCTGGGTAAGTTGAGACAAAAATGAACAGAATCACCAATCTGTACTTTCACACTGGTTTCAAAGTGTTAAAAGTGTTAAAAAGAGAAAGGAAACAGAACAGAAGGAACTCAGCATTTAAACCTCCAAAGTATTAGGAACCTAAGGAAGAACTATCCAGCCAGCTATCAACTGCTAGAGAACGAATGTTGTAAGAGACACGTTTGTAATACATCCTAAATTAAAGGCCGCCTGTTATTTTTATTTTCAGTTGCTTTGAAGTTCAAGCCTTGTTTGAATGAATTGTTAGGGACATTTAATTGCTTCCCTCGTGTTTGTTCTGATTTTTTCCTTTCGCTATTAACCCTCCTATGCAGAAGTCACTCTTTGGGTCACTCGGTAAACACCTCAAGGAAGCACAGCTGTGTTGTGTTGTGCACTGTACCAACAGTCCCTTACA